AAGGGAAGGCCCATGCCAGATTTTCTCCTACCACTGCGTTTGTACTGTTCTTTTTGATATCCCTGTAAAATGTAGAAAACAACTGCGCTGCCATAGCGTTTGGATGGAGGGGATGACCCCCAAAATCCGCCCCCCCCCTCTCTCCTCCCCTCCCCCTCCTCTCTTTTTTCTCATCGCATTCAAACTATGCGACCTTTTACCGATTCCTCCGCGTAGGAGGGCAGAACCCGCTTTGGGAATGTCTGAAGCGCCCCCCCACGTCCTTTTACCCCCCAACCCTCACCATTTTCCCCCCTTTTATCCCCTTCCTTGTATTTTCTTATATTATTTTTCAATATATTTATGAATATATCCCACTTCTTTCCCCCGAATCAGCGGAAGAATCACGGATGGGAGCCTTTATGTACATCAGCGAGCTGTGGAAGCGGAAGTCTTCCGACGTGATGCGCTTCGTCCAGCGCATCCGCGCCTGGGAGTTCCGCCATCAGCACACGGTGCTGCGGCTTCGCCGCCCGACGCGGCCGGAGAAGGCGCGGATGTTGGGCTACAAGACCAAGCAGGGCTTTTGCGTCTTTCGCGTGCGGGTTCGCCGCGGGGGTCGGAAGCGCCCGGCCCACAAGGGCATCACCTACGGAAAGCCTAAAACCAGCGGCGTTCTTGGCGTCAAACTCAACAAAAACAACCGCGCGATCGCGGAGCAGCGCCTAGGGAAGCGCTTCGGCAACCTGCGCGTGCTGAACTCCTACTGGGTGAACATGGACTCCACCTTCAAGTGGTATGAGGTGATTGCGGTGGACCCGATGTGCAAGACGATCCGGCGGGATCCGCGGGTGAACTGGATCGTGAATGCCGTGCATAAGCGGCGCGAGCAGCGCGGCCTGACCTCCGCCGGGCGGAAACATCGCGGGCACTACCACAAGGGCCACAAGGCCTCCAAACTTCGCCCCTCGGCCCGCGCCGCGTGGCGCCGCAATAACCGCATGGTCTTCCTGCGCAAGCGATAGAATACCCTACCTGACTCTTCTGCACGTTTTCTATAACTTTTTTTTTTTTTCTCTGTGTGTGTGTGTGTGTTTCTATGAAATCCAATAACTAAAGCACCTCCATCACCGCGATCGTCCGGCGAATGATAGGGCGCCAGGTCGGTTCTTTGTTGTTTTCACTCCTGTGGCGTTCTATCTTCCATGCAACTCTGACTATATTTTCTGGACCCCATTATCTTTCTTTCATATTTATAGGGCCTAACAAACCATTATTAGGAAAAGCAACTTTTCACTCCGCCCTCTTCCTTCATAAACGAGAGCTTTTAGTCAGCGTTGAGTTCTTTTTTTTTTTTTAGGGGGGAGTAGATGCCTGTCCATCCCGAAGTCCTCCCCACCCCGGCTCGTCTCCCACCCGATGATGCCCTTTACGCCATTGGAAGGCTCCTCAAAATCATACTAATTGGGATTTTCATTCTTTTTGGAGTGATTCCCGCGTTATGTGGTACCCTTCTACCGCCCTTTTCCAGCCTCTGGGAGGTTCTTATTGCCATCTCCCCCTACGCGTGGGCATCGATCGGCATTGTTCTGAGCATATCCTTATCAATTATGGGCGCCGCGTGGGGCATTCTAACGAGTGCGGCTTCGATTAGCGGCGCGGCGATTCGCGCCCCGGAGATTCGGAGCAAAAACCTAATATCGATCATCTTCTGTGAGGCGGTGGCCATTTATGGCGTTATTCTGTCCATTATCATGATGGGGAAGATTCGGGCGAGCACCTCGACGGTGGATTTGGTCGGGTCCTACACTTCGAATGCCAGGGCCGGCGGCTACGCCCTCTTCGCGGCGGGCCTCGCCGTCGGTGTGGGCAATCTGGCCTGCGGCATAGCAGTTGGCGTCGTCGGCAGTAGTTGCGCCATCGCGGATGCCCACAACAGTGCCCTTTTTGTGAAAATTCTAATTATTGAGATCTTCGCCTCCGCTCTTGGAATTTTCGCAGTGATCACGGGCATTTTGATGACCCAAAATGTGAATATGTCTTGAGTGTTCATTAATATCAATCCCCTTCTTTCATCTT